AGCAGCCCCTCCCCCACAAAACCCTTTGCTGCCTCGGGATTTCCGAAGCCCCCACCGCCCCGTAACTGGCTGCCCTTCCCATCCCTGCCCCAGTGAGTTGGATCAAGTCACCTAACACTTGGTTAGACTCCAGTCTTCCCTTCATGGAATTCCTTAAAGGAATTTATTAAAGGCACATTCCACTCATTTTAACCAGCCTGTCACTACAGGCCTTGGGAAATAGTTACGGACATTAAGAGAAAGCAAACGAATTTGAGAGGGGTGTTGAAATGCATTTTTATAGCTTAGAAGCAAACCAATACAGATAAGCTGGAGCTGCCCAGATTGTTTAACTCCTTCCTGGCATTTGGCGAGCAGGAGGCTGCAGGGTAGGGTTTCAAAGCAGGAGATGCTATTTCATCCCCCCGGAGTGTTACCATGTTGAGACAGCAGCCTGGCTGAGGGAACAGTAAAGAACGTGCTAAAGCCCCAGATATGATTACTTTTGTTCTCAGCCTGAACTTCATCACAGCGTAATCCTGGGACTTGTATTTAATTTCTAAGAATCTTGTCTGTTTATGGGAAAGCATGCCACACCACGCTTCTACCTTAGCCTCACCTCCCCGGTGATGGGACAGACCAGCTAGAGACTGCCCCAAGGACGAGGGGATTTCCTTATCAATGGCAGAGGTGACTGACATCCATGTAGGTCTATTAAAAGGAAAATGGGTCAGAATTGTTCAGGCTGATCACTGATAGTTTCATGAAATGGGGCGAGGCCCATCCGTGCTGTGGTGGTCCAGTGGTGGGCCCTCCTCAGGGTCAGTGGCATAGCAGGTTCCTTGTTGGGTCTTAGCCTCAAATCCCACAGGCCAGCTCTCAAGTCCCACCATCTGTCCTCCTGTGATCTGGGACGTGACTCTGACCTCATGTATTCCATGGGTATGAAGGGCAGAAGTGGCCCCTGAGCCAAGTGGGCCTGCTTTAATTTCACAAAGGGGAAGTGCTGCGCTCTCCCTTGGGGCTGGGGCCGGGGGTTACGCACTATCCAGAGGACCCCAAGCACTCCACTTGTGTATTATGAGCAGTCACATCCTAAGAAAAACAGAGACCCCCATATGCATGAGCCCTGAAAGCCACGAGGTGCATTTCAGAGTCAGGTGTTGTGGCCACCCACATCTTCATCTCAGAGGGTCTGGATGTGGACTCTCTTCTTAGCCTGGGGTCCCTCATGTTGGACCAACAGAGCGTCTAACTGCAGGAAGCAGAAGCTGCTTCCCAAAGTAAGTCCCCCTGAGAACTCAGTGAGGACGGCCAACCTGGATTGTTCAGGTGCGCCCCCTGACACAGCAGCTGGTATGCCCCCACGGAAGTCCATATTGTTCCGAACCTTCTGTCCTATCAGCTTAGGCTACGGGAGTGAATTCCTTGAGGGAAACTCATTACTGTGTCAGAAGCCGGTGAAATCATCCTTGGGGTGCACTTTTTTCTCTTGGGAATAGTTCCTTTCATAATTATGCTCTCTACTAGGAATCTATTACATGATCAAATTTTTCCTCACAAGACATCATTAATCATATGGTGTCTACAGTGTAACTTCAATTGAAAATGCAAGATGTTTTGTTCAATGCCATGTTCAACACTTGGCAATCGTCAAGCTCCAGATGCTCGAGACCCAGCGCCTGGCCTCTCCTTCCGCAATACTGCACTGATCACTCACACCTTTGTTCTGAGGATCATGACGTTCTCATTCTCTATCTTCTTTCTTTAAGATAATTATGTAGGAGTTTTAAAGAACATTCTAATCACAATGCAAACTTTTCTGCAGCATTCTAGTTAAGCGGGCGTCATAGCGGCATTGCTACGGTGCTAAATTCATGGCAGATATTGTGGGAGAAAAGGGCTTTCCTGGAATTTACTGGAGCCATCCAGTGTCTTTGTGATGGAAGAAACTGGACTGGGAGTCAGACAGCCAGAGCCCAGCGTCAACTCTGATCTTGAGCCATCATGTCTGCTCTGGGGTCTGCTCCCTTTGCTACACAGCCAGGCACTGCAGCTGTCATGTCGGAGATGCCCACGCCCTGTGAGATGCCCTGCCATCCAACCCGGGTGCAGTCATTACAATGAGCTCCAAAGGCAAAGCTGAATTTAAAAAATTAAAAAACAACCAACTTGATAAAGATGGCAAAACTGATACAGTGAGAGAGATCAGAGAAAGAGCTCCTGCCCCAAAGGCCAGTCACCCTGGGTGTCACTCCACCGAGGGGAGGCCGAATACACGATTGCCGCGTAGAGAAAAGGGGATCTGACTTCTCCACTTACCCTCATCGTTGCTGGGGATGGAGACAATCACCAGCAATGGGAAGGACGAAGTGGGGAAGGCCACATCGAGGGCAAGGAGCCGGACCTGAGGAAGCCGACAGGGCAGTGGACTGGTGGGAAACGTGCAGGTGGGATTCACAGGTATGAGCCCCATGCCCAGGTCCAGACTAAATGCTGACTTGTGCTGCTCATCCTGGAGGCAGCTCTCAGTTGGGGAAATATGGTCCCCAAGTTACTAGCTCACTGGAGAGGTAGCACTGCAGAGCCTGCTGGTGATGAGGATACAGTGAGAACTGAGATGAACCTCGGCAGCTGATTCCCCTCTTTCAGAAAATTCCCTGGGTGCATCCTCCAGCCTCATGGCAACCAATCCAGCAAGCAGCAGCAGAGCCGGCTCAAGCCTAGAGAAGGAGCACTGCAGAGACCCTGGCACCCCGAGGCCCTGGGCCAGGCAGCAGGGCACCGGCACCTAGTCAGAATGAGCATTGGGAATCACCCCCCACAGTACCAGGCCTGCCTGGCTAGCTCACGTGCATGGGCAAGCCTTAACCACTTGGGTTCCTTTCTATTCAGTGAGAAGGTAGATAATAATGTCACACCCGGAATTTATGCTGGAGTGAAGAACCGCCTAAAGTCTGAATTGCAGGGTACCACCAACAAAGGCTGGGGAAGGACAGGTGGCATGAAGCAGATACAGGAGCTGCTGCTGAGGAGGGGGCCTGGGAGGAAGCCAGAAACTGGGCCTCGCCTGTCCGCAAGCCAGCCACCCAGCCACTGGGACACAGGGCCCCACCGTGCCTAGCTTCCTCTGGCCCTAACCATCTCTGACTCATGGGCAGGTCCCTCTGGGCTCACTTCCTCCTCCCCCTCCTCCCATCCTGAGCCAGCAGGGGTTACTATAGGGCAAACTTCTATCTGGAAGTCACCGGAGCTGAACTTGCAAGTGGTGGCCCCTCCCTTGCTGGTTAAGATGCCATCATCATTGGCCAAGTTGGACAATCAGTGTGACTAGTTCTAACATTCAGAAAATACAGGGTAGACAAGCCACACACCTGACTGGGAAATGCTATTCCTCACTTACAAACATTGGCTGAGCCCCTGCCTGCTGTGCTTGATTTCAGACCAAGATTCTGCCGCGGTTTTCAAATGTTTGCATTTCTGTGTGGCAAGCTATCTTCACTTTAAACAAGAGCCATCCAAGCATTTCCAACCACAAGGACAACATTCCTAAGGCCACATGTATCAGATGGACAGAAACCAATCCAGGCTGCTCACGGGTTTGTCGACGTAGACAAGCTGAACATACCAGGGCCCTCGTGGTCACTCAGTGCATTTTTTTTGGTAAAAATCTTTTTTTTTTCAAGTTCAGGAGGAAAAGGCTAAAACCCTATGTTGACATTTCAGCAGGTGCGAATGAACGAGCCCAACGCTGAGCCTGTCACAGAATTTCTTAACAGAACAGGCTGGATGCTATGAAAACGTGTCAGGTAACAATGCTACACAACCAGGCTTAGGATCTGTCCCTGGTTGTGCAAACACACATAAAGTCATCCAACAACCAGCATGGCTGGCGGGTCCCAGGCACCAGTCGGTCCAGGCTCTAAAATGATGGTTACGGGGAAGTCCAGAGTGGCCAGCCCCACAGCCTCGACGGCTTAGTTTCCAGAAAGTAGGAGAACAAAAGGGAGGCAAGAGAGAGGAGAAAAATAAAAATAAAAACTAAAGTAAGTCTTGGTGGATCTTTTTCAAAAATTAAAAAGGGTCAAATCTAGATTCAATTTAGGGGTTCTAAAAATATTAGTGTTTCAGTGGTATGGGAGTCTCTTCCACTGTTCCAAATTCCTCATAGATTTTCAAGATGTTTTAAGTGATTCATTAGAAACTAGGGACCATTGTTTCAACGTGTCCTCTCCCAGCGTGTCCCCCACCTGAGAGCCGGGTGGATGATGGGCACGCAGGGCAGAGGGTGGTGAGGAGTGAGCACCAACCCTGGTGGCACTGACCCCACATGCTTCACAGATCTACAGCTGGCCAAGGAGTGTCCAGGCTGCTAAGAGAACTCAAAATACCGTCAGCTGTCAGTTCAGCTCAAGAGCAAAAGCTGGCAGCAAACTCCTGGACCATGGCTTTCCAGAGACCTCAACTTCCATCCTCCCTCTCTATTCTACTTTTATTTCTATGGTTCATTGACCAATAGTTTATTTTATTAATATCCCATCAATACCACCCACACGAGTCCTTTCAAAATCCTCAAACGTAAATGATTCCTTTCGAGAGAGGGCTTGCTAAGTTGCCAGCTACCTTTTAACACTTCAAGCCTGGGAGGGAGCACTTGTCTTCCATTTTGCTCTGAAACAGTAACAAACTGTCTCATCTTGAGAGACTAACCGAACCAGCCCTGAGTAAGGAGGACCCAATGGGTACACTGCTAAAACCAGCCACAAAGATGTGGCCAATCTTAGTAAATTCTTTGTACTCAATCAGAAGAGCCACCATGAGTCTTGAATCATCTATCCACCTGTTCATAGTACAGGGGAGAGAAAACTCGGGCGAAGAGTAATCACATAAATTCACGGTGGCAGTGACAGAGTGGGAAGACTCAGCCTCCCAACTTCAGACCCAGATTTCCGCAAACAACCTGCTGCTTCCTTCATGGGACCCTCTCACCTCCTAACACCCACAGCGGCCGCCCTCCCTACCTTTTTTCCTCCACCAGGGTCCTTCTGGAACGGAGTAAGAAAGGTCCTTGAATTCAATGTTGACAGCCGCCCTCCTAGGCAAGGAGGACAGCCGCTGGGCCTCCGTGAGGTTGTTGTCCACTTTTTTCAGGTGCCCGTTCAGCAGGTCCTTCTCGGTGGTCTCCAGGTTGCCGGAGACCACCTCGTCCACCGAGACGCACACCGACTTGGGCTCCGTCATAGCTGCAGTGTAACTGCTGGCATTCTAGAAAACACAGGGAGGAAGCACCAGGAGAGGATATGAGCCACATCAAGGAAAAGAGCACAGGAGACTGGCTACTCGGTTCAAGGTCATTGAATATTCATAACAACGCTTCTTAAATTGCGGAATGACTTTGTGAGAGCTGAGAGCTTCCCTAGAGGAATCTGTTTTCTCTGGCCTTCACTTTTTCTCCTATTAAAACAACGCTTAATGTAAGATAGGAAACTCATCTAACCAGTCTTTCTTTGTAGTCATAAAATCTAATCACAAACCACAATAAATAAATTGTTGTTTCAAAGAATGAAACACTAGCCACCATGAAACATTCTCTGTGTACAGTCTACTCATGAAAAATCCCAATAAAGGCACATAAGGCTACTAAAAATCTATAATCAAAAGTTTTATTTAAAATGAGCTTTTCTGGCGTCTGTCTCATGTAACCTCATCAGCATTTCTCAAGAGCAAGGTCACGTGTGAGCCTCTAGGCTTTGTGGGAGGCGGCCTTTGTTTCCCTTGTAAATTTTTCAAATCACTTACAATTCTTCTCTTTTGTTATAACTTAATAATAGCACTGAAAAAAAGTTAGAAGGATTGATATATTTTCTCTATGATGCAGATGAGGTAACTGAGGCACAGACAATTTAAGGAACTTGAACTTGCACTAAGCTCTATAGTTAAGGGAGGGGCAGAAGTGATCCCAGAATCTGACTCATAAAAAACAAAACAACAAAAACCCCCTCAGAGGCCCCTTCTGCTACATCAGGCCAGCACCTAGCATTTTGTAACTCAGTGGCTTTCCAGCTCCAGTTGGAGTCAACTGCACTGCTACAGATATGCAGAAAACCAGAAGTATCTATGCAAAGAAAGGAATATCTTTTTCTAATGGCTTGGCAACCCCAAACAAATCAATATGCAAAACTCAGAAGAACCCTGGGGTGGACAAATATTATGCTGTGCTTTCTCTAGCTGTCTCTTGAATCAAGAGGGAACATTCTGTGGAGCCCAAAGCGTGGGCCTGTGGTGACACTCCTTCACACCACTGAGGGCAGTCAGCCTGGTTGGGAGAGGCTGTGGATAGCTGTTGTGGGTCCTTCAAGCCCCTGGGACCATGGTAGGGTCGGGGACCCACTGCAGGGCAGCTGCTTGTCCTTGAGAGCAACAATGCCACACTTATTTTTCCACAAAGGTTTGCTAGGCATTGCTTTCAAGCTGATAGCTTTTTGATCATTATTGTTTCCAATCAAAAACCCAAAACAAAACCTGTGAGTGGGTCATCCATAAATATTCCTACCAACCCAGCAACTCATGAGGCCAAAACAAGCCCTTCTCCCATTGGAACACCCTCTTGAGGGCACTAGACTGTGTCCTTGAAGAGCTGGCATTTTTTCCATCATGGTACTGAAGAGCTCAAAAACCTTGGAGGGTGTGGTAGTTTTGAACATTACAGCACAGAGGGATGGGCACATGTGGGCATAGGGGTTTCTGCTTCTTGTGATGTTTGAAAACGTTGCTTTGACCTTTAAGAAGAAGGCACTGTGCGCACATAGTCACACACGCACCTCTTAGGCATCTCCTATCTCTGGAAAGCTTAACCAAATCAGAGCTCGGCTCACTGACTATAACACTCTTGTGGATAAAAATTAAAGTGCAAAATAAAACTGCCAAACTTAAGCTTGGCTTGCTACTGGCACTGAGCCTGTGAAATGTTTCCAATGCAAACATAAGTAAGTTCATACATTCTGGAAGTCAGAGAAGATCTGTGTTAGCCCAGCATCGGGGCTCCTCAGAGCCTTGGCATGACAGGTGTCTCTCCAACTCCCAAGAGACGGCCACAGGACCCACCGCCTCTGCCTCCGAGCCTCTGCTGGCCCCAGGCCTTCTGTGTTGGGACCCCTTAGAGATGCAATAGCAGACTCTGCCACAGCTCTGCAAACTCCTAGCTCTGGGTGATCAGGAGAAAACGTGCGACTTCAGCTCTGGCACCCAGAGCAGGCACTGGATGCCACCCCTCTGCCCACTCGTCTTGTCCTTCGGGGCACGTACTGCTGTCCCAGGCTTACAACCCACTTGGACTCCATAACTTCCCTGGAAGCAGCAAACCCTGGCCGTGGGGGGTCGTGGAGAGAACGATGGGCAAACCAAGCCCCAGGCCTGCCCCCAAGGTTCCTTCTCACCCCACCATGGGGAAAAAGGCTGACCATCTGGTTCCAAGCCCACATCCTGCGGGAAAACTTGGCTCTAACCTGGAATTCCCAGTCACCATGTATTTGGTTGGGGGCCAGGAGTACCCAGCAACTCCTCTGCAGTGGTGGTCCCCTCAGCTTCCACTGTGGCCAGCGTTCCAGCTGCCACAGACCATCCATGCTCTCCCCCAGAATCCACCACAGGCGTCAACCCCTGAGGAGGCTCAGGGTAAGCCACAGTTTTCCCTTCTGATGAACACACGGATGAACAGCCATTATTCCAACCACCCACTCACCACTGGCTATAGTAGGTGCCAGACCTGTAAGGGCCTGACTTTCCCTCTAGACCCTAAGCTTATCTGTTCTCTCTCTCACTCAATCACTTAACAAACTGAGCACCAAATACAGCCCTGGGGCTGAGCGCTCAGCCATGCAGACATGGCCTATGGCCTCAGCAACTCACATTCAAGATCGGGCCCCAAGCAAAAATAGGGGCAATTAGTTACAATACTGTGAGGCCAGAGCTATAATGAGACCACACAGAGACTCAGAAGGGACATGCAATGCTGCGCAGGACAAAGCTGGGTGACTAAACTGATCTGGGAGTGAGAGAGGCAGAGAGAGGAGCCAGTGTTCACTATTTAGAGAATTAAACAATAACACCCCTGCATAGTAGGTGAGTGACTGTAAACAATGACTATTGATTCAGCCAGTACAATGTGCCCTTTAAACTCCAGGCTGAAGAGAGTATGCTTCTACTCTCTCCCCAACTCTAGCAGGGGGTATTGTCATCTCCCCTCATCCATCTCAGAGAAGGAATTTAAGGCACAGAGAGACTGCCCAACCTGCCCGAGACCCCGAGTTGGGTGAGTAGCCAAGCTGGGCCCAGCTCTGCGTGGCTTGTAGATCTACACCCTGTCCTCCCAGCTGGCACCCTTAACAGTGCGGACCTTTTTACAGACAAATTGTAGGGGACCCTGGGTCATCCTAGCCCCTGTCCATTATAGGGAAAGCCACAAAAAACAACACAAGAAAACAAAACCTGGGAAAACTATACAACCCCAGCCCCACATAAACGAACACCAAAGCTATGCACACCGTTATCCACCTTGCCTCCTTGGGCGTCCACTGGCCTCGCCCAATTAATAAAATCACAGAAGCCTGCATGATGGGAGGCGGTGGCTGTCACTCCAAAATAGACCAATTCTCTGGAAACACATCCTTAGATGAGAGAGACCTGCAATGTAGGTTACAGCTCACTGTCCTCAACCTCCTGAGCTCGTTAATAATGAAACAAATACATCTTCCTTCCTCATTGGTTCCCTTTCCTGGTATGTTCCTCTACTCCAGTGAAACGTTGTCTGGACCTCACTCCCCCCCACACACAATGTGTGCTGCATGATAAATGGTAAATAACAGTAAGTCCATTCGTGGGTGTTGCATGCCCGGGAGCTGCTGTTTGGAGCGATCCTGCCTGCTCTTGGTGGGAGCACTTCCTTTGGTGCTGCTTTCAGTTTGAATGCGAACATGGAGAGATTCCTATTTAGCTGGACCGGGTCCCTAACAGGCAGCAACTGCTGCCCACCGGGCCACTGTGAGGCTGGCTCACTCTCCTGACCCAGGGAAACAAAGTTAGAGATAGAAACACACATGCACACACACACACACACACACACACACACACACACACACACACACTGGCATCATGGGGAAAGGAGGAAGAGGAACGTGCAAACACCAGGTGTTGGCATGTGCTGTGACTTCTCTTTTTGGTTTTGGTTCATCACCACCAGCCTCGGTTTCCAGCTAGGCAGTTCCTCCCTGGTACCCTGGGCACATTAGAGGAAAATGTACAGACAAGAATTCTCAAGGCCACTGCCTGTGGAAACACAACCCAAATAGCATACTCTCGACTAAGCAAAGGGCAGATGCAACTTGGGTGGTCACTCAGGAGGCCAACTTCACCAAAAGCAAAACCCAGTTTGACACAGCCCCAGATACCACCATCCCATAGGGAACCAACCCATGCTGTCCCCGTCCACCAGCTCAGAGACTCCACTTCCCAGGTGGTGCGGCTTTCTTTAAACTCACACCTGGCCTGGTCAGCATGGACTAAATCCCAGAGTTGGAGAGATGGTCAAGACCAACCTCAGGATCCTAGGGTGCTCTCCAGGGCTCATTGTTTATGACTTGAGTAGAATTCTTTTAATTAAAAAAAAAGTACAAGGTTTTCAGAGAGGAAAAGAATTTTTTCAAAAGTTCCCTGGAAAAAAAAATCCAGCCACTAGCATTGCCCTGAGAACAACACACGTGCGTTCTGGGGTTGCGCGTCAGCCCTAACGTAACAGGAAAACGATCTTGACATCAAAACCTCTGCGCCCCAAAGCATTCTGATTCCTTATTTCCCAACGTGTATAAGACACTTCTGCAGCTCAGAAAGGACTTCAAGAGTTACCCAGAACCTAAAAGACTTGAAACTTTCTTTACTTACAACTAACAATAATCATCTTAATTTTCCATTACCAGCATAATTTAGGAATCCCAAATACGTAGGCAAATGTAAAAGGTAGGATTGCCAAGTGTGACCAAAACACCCAACCAGATCAAAGCAAATGTGGTGAGGAGGGAATCGCCTTTCCTGTTTTTTTTTTTTTTTCTTTTTCTAGCCTTATCTGTAAGAAGCCAAGTGATAAAGGCAGAGGAGCCCAGAGATAAGATCTGTCCTGTAAGTCCCCTGGCTCCCCCCCTGCTCTACCAACCTCCTTAACATGCCTGTGGCCCCATTCTATCAGTTTACACAAAATCATTATATAATGAGCTGGCGAGGCGCGGTATGTTCTACAGTAACCTGTTTGGAATCATAGGATGCAGTTGGCAGAGCAGAGCATGCGCAGAAACCCAGTTACTTTTTTTTTCTCTTGAGCTTAAGGCAAGAGGTAACTGTCGGTCAAATACTGCTGAGCCCTGCTGACTTCAATACAGGATGCTAAAAATGAAATAAGGCGAGGGGTGGAGGTGACAAATTGGTGCCGCTATGCTCTGTGGGCTTACAGCTAGGGAAGAAACTAGCAGGATAGTAAATACATAGACGGAGGGTACAAAGAGGGATGGATAGGGAGAGCAATATGGGTTGGAATACGTAATGTGCTCAATTTGTACTTTAGATGACCTGAAATCTAGTGCATAAGTACCTAACTGCAAAGCCGGCTTGCTAGGCATAGAAATGAACGAAAGGCCCTAGCATGGGTGGGCCGATGGTTAATTTGTTTGTTTTGTCCTACTGTGAGCTTATGGAGCTACAATAAATGAGCGAGAGGAGACTTTTGACCGCCCCTGGGAATAGCACTTGCTGCGTCTAGCAGTGCATTCGCCGACACCGGGTGGTCCCCCTGCGGAGCTGGTCCCTCCTGAGAGGTTAGAAGAGCGCCTCTGTCTCCACCCGGTCTCTCTAAAGGGCGCAGAAAGGTGGCCTGCAGGTATCCAGGCTCGCCCTTGTCTGTCTCCCCGGGACTCCGCCGCCCCCTCCCGAGCAGGTCCCAGAGAGTCAGTTCCCCGGGGAGCTCAGGGGCAGTGCAAGGCTCTGGCTTCAGGGAGCAGCTCCTTCTTTTGTTCCCCCAGATCATGCCCGGGGCTCCGGAGGGTGGCGCGAGAAATGTCGGCTTCAGGAGCCCCGGCCGCGGGAGCCGGCAGGAGATGGGGCCCTCCCCCCCGCCACCCCGCGCACTCCAGGTCCTCGGGCCCCATGCCCCCTCAGTCAGAAGCGGACGAGGTCAAGGCCATCTGTCCACTTGCAGAGTGCTGGCCCACTCCTGGCCCCCAACCTTCCTGGCGACCTCCGCCGGTGCAAGGAGCATCCCGCAGCGCCGGGTTGCCAGGACATGAGCGGTGGGAGACTGGGACCTAGCGGCAAGTGTCAAGGTGAGGGTGCGGGTCTTTGTATGTTTCTTGCTCTCCTGGAAAACAGAACCGAGCCCCGGGGGCGTAGGATGCGTTCACTCACCATGGCGGTGCCGACCGAGAAAGCGGCCATCAAACAGGCCATGCCCCGGGGGCGGGGGCGGCAGCAGCGGCGGGGACTAGGCGGCCGCGGCGGCGGCGACGGCGGCGACAGCGACCGAGAAAGAGACCGGCGGTGGGCCCGAGGCTGCGCTTGCTCCAGACAGAGCCACTGCGCCGGACGCAGGTTCCAGCTCCGGCAGTGCCGGGGCTCGCCCCGCCCGCGTAAGCCCTGCCCACGCCCCGCCCACATCCCGCCATTGGCCACTGTGCGGGGTAGGCGGGGCCGGCAGGTGCGCGTGCTCTTGTTTTGCTCCTGCTGGGGGCAGTGGACCCAACACCCCGGCAAATCCACTCCCAGAGCCGCCTGCGCCCCTTGGCCAAGCAGGCGCTGTAAGCCCTTTTCAGCCCCAGAGCCGCCCAATCCGGAAACTCGCGGGGGCTAGACCAGCGGCCCAGGGCTCCGACAGACGACCCGGGTCCCCCTCTAGGATCCCCACCTCCACGCCTGCGCGGATGTATGAGTTCAAGAGTCCTGGGAGGGAGGAGAAAGGACAGGGGATCTTCTCTTCTCTTTTTTCGCTCTTGGACCCGTATCTGCCGGGTAGGACCTTGAAGACTAATCAGGAGATGACCTGTCTCCCTCTTCCCCACTACAGCTCCGTATCTGGGATGCCACCTGTCCCACCACTACACACACACCGAGGCAAATTCGTGCACTGTGCCAGTTGCAAGCTAAGTGCTGTTAGCAAAGGGCTGGTGACTTAGGTGAAGAGGTCCAGCCCTCTGTCCTCCTGCTCCACTCCCGACCCTGCCCCCTAACACGATGAGAAATAGGCTTGCTTTTGCAGAGTGGTGTTTCCACTGCCTGGCCCAATACCTGGTACACAGCTGTGTTCCGGTAACCGAATAAGGAATGACACTCCAGACACCCTCTCATTTGGCCCCAGACTGGAATATCAGATGGCCTGGCATCTGCTAAAGCCCTTATTATATATAAGTGGGACCATTTCTTGGTAACCATGGTGGCAAGGCATTCTTTACTCCCAGTCTCGGAGGCTAACGTTTTTTTGTTCAGTAGTTTTCATGTTGGGACCACACACAGGAATGTATCTATTTTCACCTCCAGCACAACTGGGTCTCCCCTCCCCTCCACACCTCAGATAAACGAGTCTGTCTTCTCACCTAAAAAGGGGGTACAGCTTTTCATACCAGGGAGGTAGACATCATACCCACAGGTCTGATGACCACAACCAAATTCTTTCCTCGAATCAAAAGAGTTATGATGTATGAGTTCAAGGGGGAAATAGCTCCGCTTTCATCTGAAGACTTTCACTTGAAGAGTTGATGCAATCCCTCTACTTATCTGCCTGCTGTATTTCCAGGTGCCCGTCTCCAGGCACCAGGCCCAGGAAGCCATGTGGTGCCTTAAATATACTGAACGGGGAGGTCAGCAACCTCTGAATGTTCTGGAAAGAGGATTAAAATCCGCAACATCTTGGCCAAGAGTTTAGGCCAAAAAGCAGAGACCAGGGTGCCTGACCTCTGGGGCCTGGAGTTGTGACTGCCCTTTTGCCATCCCCTGCTCCAGGGCAGACAGGACCTAAAGCAGGAGAGGATGGCACGGAATGCAGCCAGGGAGGGGGCATCTTTGGGAATCTGGGGGAACACTGCCAGCTGTGCGACAGGACGAGTGACATGACATTGTGGTCCTGCTGCTCTGGCATCTAGTCTCTGTCCAGTATCTAGTCCCCTCACTCCTAGGAACATGTCCAGAGATTCCTTCCGAAAATCCCCCCTGTGCTCCCCCACCCCAGTTCTATGCAATGTGATGTGCAGCCATGAGTGGTCAGGGACCAGAGATGTGAGGCAATGTTTGCATGCTGGCTCCTGGGGATGGCCAAGGGGACAGTGAGCAGAGGCTGAGGATGAAGCCCAACAGGGGAGGGAGGAAACGTGGTTCCCTGTTGGTGTGCCTTGAGCTGCTGGCTTTTCGGTTACAGGCCCTGAAGGGCCTCCATCTGTGTCATCCTTGGTCCCTCCAGCCTCGTTTCACAAAGATGCCCTTTCTTCCTTTCTGCGTCTGAGCATTGTGGTAATAATAACCTCAGCCCCATGGGAAACAATGCATGTCAAGCCCTTCCCACCATGCGTGGCACACAGCAAACACTGGAACTCTAATCCTCAGGAATGTTACCCTCTTGTGCCAAATCAGGGGATAAGCAAATGGTAGAGTAGGTCAGATATGTGACATTTGTATCGGGACTCTTGGTTGTAAAGGACAGAAATCCAAGTTTCCAGGTGCACAGGTTTCAGGCCTGCCGGTGCTGAGCCCCCATTCTACGTCCTCAGCCCCTGGTCTGTCGCTTTCTCCATAATTCTGCTGCCCGTCTGCTGGCTTCTCCCTCAGCTTGGCTGTCTCTGCACCTCCCTCGCAACAGGTCCACGCTTGCATCCTATCAGCTGGCAGCCGGCCACTGCGCCCAGGGGGTTGCCAAACACCCAAGGCCTGGCCTGAGTCACATGTGCCCAAAGAGCCAAAGGGGAAAGTCAGTCCCAACAGAACCATGTCGAGAGACTGGCACATGGCTCCTTCGCCGAGGCCATTTCAGGGCACTCTGAGAAGTGGGTGCTAAGCATGTAAACACAGGAGGCGCTCATCCCAGGACTGTCCCTTCCAGAACCCAGCCCCAGTAGGTATTTCTGCTAAGACATCACTGACCAGGGAGTGGTGGGGGGAGGCGCTGGGCAGGGCTTGAGAAGTTCCAGTGGGGAGGTACCTCCTGCCTCAACCAGCAGCCTATTCCAGGATTAAGTAGTTGTCATTGTTAGCAAGCAGTTCCTGTGACTGATCAAGTTCCCTGTCACCCCCAGTGCTCTGGGTTCCACGGTTAGAGTCAGTTAGCCCCTCCTCCACACAGCAGGCCTTGAGCTAATCAGTCATGGCGCCATATTTCTCTGGAGGCCTTTGCTTCCATGACCTAAACATCCCTTGTCCCTCCAGCCTTGTTTCACAGAGATGCCCTTTCTTCCTGCTCACCTTTCTCTGCATGAATTCCCTTTTCTTACCACTGAATGCCTATTCAGGGTACTCCCTCCTCACTAATGAGCAAGCTCTCCCTGGGCCACTCCCACCCACCGTTCCACAGGACAAGCCTCCCTGTGCATGCAGGCACGTGCGCTCCATCGGCAGTCAGCTACATTCACTTCCCTTATAATTATGTAGTTTCAGGTGCCTGCTTTGCACCGTATCCCTCAAGGTTCATTTTTAAAGCCTGTCCGCTTTACCTCTGCGGACGCCCAGCCACTGAGGCTGGGAAATGAAGGGGAGCCGGGGCACCCTGAGGACTCCGTCTCTGGTTTAAGGATCGCGCTTTTGGGCTGACTACCATGGTGTTCTGTCTCCAGTGCCCAGATATCCCCACCCTATTGCCCCCTTTAGGGACCCCTCCCTCCCCAGCCTGCCAGGAGGAGGTTGGGCGGAGGAGGAGCTGCAAGGCGAGAGTGCAGGGAGCCAGAGGAGAAGTGCCCAGAGGCGGAGATGGGAAAACAAGATTAATGAGAGATGTTTACAGGGAAAGAAAATGCAAGTGACTAGTTCATAAACTAAGTTAGGAAGAGGCAAAGTAAGTATTGCAAACAGATTATTTCTGTTTTCTTCCATTAGCCAGTGGCATGAAAGATCTAGGAAAAGTATTTCTACAAAGGAACAAGGAGGAAATAACATCTGGCATTGAGATGACCTTCAAAGCTGAAGATTAGGACAGAAGTCTCAGAGACAGATACTGGAAAATTACTGGCGGCCTCCTTCCCACACTTAAAGGTAAGAAACTTCCAAACCTGTAGAGGATTTTTACAAGTTTATTTGAATCAAACTGGTGGCAATTGCCAGGAAGCAAAATCTCGAGGGACTGAGAAAACGCCCTGGGAAATGAGTTTTACCACTTACTTTATAAATCAGGTCAAAGGGGAAGACATGAGGGGTTACCTGGTGACAGACTGGGGGGGTGGGAGAACACAAGGTGGGAAATCTCTGGGACTAGATAAAAAGTAAAGGGGGTAGACACACATTTCTCCATAGGTGGGCACAGGACAGTTAACAGGTAACAGCACTGTAACCGTGGCGATGAGAGGTCCTGTGGTCTGGGTTCTGAGGGATCTGGGGACAAAAATCTGAAATTACCCTGACGTTCCAAAGGTGTGTTATTGTAAATGCAAGAAGACAGCAGATAGACTCAGTTAAGGTAAAGACTGACCTTTGTCGGGAAATACTCCTGCCCAGGACAGGCCGACCGGCCGTGAACTGCTGATGTACTAACTGCTAGAAAGTACTAATTTCAGACCGTCCTCTGTGGTTACTGCAGGTCTCTGAGTCTGTAAGTTCACCATGCCGGCGTCCCTGGAGCTCGTAGGATTTAGTGAGCGGCCCCTTTTTCATCCATGACGTGAAAGCCTCCCATCCCCCCCACGTGTCTCTGTGCTCCCCACTTTCCCTCTGAGAAGCCGCTATCCCCTGAGCTGTGTGGTCCATCCAAGAACACAGCCCCGGTCAGTCAGAATGGTCCACCCTCCGACCTGTTCTGTTGCAGAAAGGACTTACAAACCCAACGGGACTGTCCGAGCTCTCACGGCGACCTGCCTGGGCCCGGGGGGAGTGGGCAGTCACATGCGGCAGCCATATTTCTTGTGGTAAGGAGAGTGTCTAGGTGAGAATGATGTGACCACTTGGAGGAGGCAGCGCTGAGGGCCAGGGAAAGCCACCACCCAGTGCTTTCTAAGAGGCTGGGCAGCCTGGTGGTGAGCACAGGCCTCTGGAGCCAGGGGCTGGCTCCTCCAACAAGTTCGTATCCCCCAGTGCCTCCATGACGTCCACTGTGAAGGGGTGACAACTGTGCCCCTCTCGTGGGGCAGTTGTGAGGATCAAGTGAGTCCATTTTTGAGAATCATCTCTAGCTCAGAGTATTTCAGTATGACTTATAAGGAGATATTGGTCGTTCTCATTATTTATTTACTACATGAGACCCAGTACTCTCCCTCCGACTTTGAGCTACCATGAATTGGGTTTCAGGCACTTGTAGCTTCAAAATTCCAGTTTGACAACGTTGTTGAACGTCAGGGGCCAGATGCCAGTTTGGGGGAAAATCCTCACAAACAGTCTATGGGTCCACCCCATCAGCCCTCACGGCCTTAGCCTCTGCTCACTACCCAC